TTGTTTTGGAATCTTTTGAATGAGTGTCTACGTAAGGTTTCCTGTGATGGTAACTATACATTCAATCCAGTTGGATGGTGTGCAGACATGGCTGGGGCAAACTTGGCAGGATTTACCGAGGTTTTTGGTGAAACTGTCAACGTTCGAATTAAGGCATGCGAGTTTCCTTTCAAGGACCACCGAAATAAAAACGCCAGAAAGTTAGACGCCGATATTGCAGCCGAGTTTATGACCCTTTGTGACAACCTCTTACTCAGTGCAACAGAAGCTGCATACTACGAGTCGTCTAAAGCCGAGATTGAGGAGTTTTATTGCAACAAGGGAAGAGCAGTCGATTTTGTCATCTTGGGTCTCATGGTGGCACGCAAGACGGGGTTTCATTTTTTGCGCATTTGCACCTCGAGACGCGCTGAGAATGAATCAAGCAGAGGTCATTCACACTATGTGGGTGTACAGGGACCGCCCTAATTTATCGATGCTCGAAGTTTGCCTTGCGGACACTCGAGACTCTTTGTTTCCAGACGTTGAGCTCAAAGATTGTCAATCGGTTGTTGCAACAGGTGGCCCTTCTTATGCCGATCGGAAAAAAAAAGAAACATGCTCGTGAGGTCAATAAATCAAGCGACTGGGCCGGACAATGTTCCCTGATAAGGAGTGCACCTCATAGCTCCGGGATCATCGCACTGTCCTCGAAAGAATCAGCGAGGAGACAAAAATCCAAGGCTAAACCGAAACAGTCGTCGTCACAACAGTCGTCAGCCACTCCTTCCACTCAAAAGCGCCGTAATCCTATATCATTGCCAATTTCGACGATAAACAGCTCAACACCAAACCCACAATGAGGCGGTTTCCTTCACCCCACACCCTCGGGCAGTGGAGAGCACCTTTAGGAGCCCATTACTGTGATGGGCTCCTGGCACCTTAGAGTACCTCTTCCAAGTTGCAGCTCCTCAATTTCGCCACAACAGGAACTGGCCTTGCATCAAATAGGCGCACAGCACAAAACTTGTAACATGGCGGTTTCGTGCACTCATCATTCTATAATGGAGGCCACCTTACGTCACCTATCCCTAATGGGAGCAGGTTAATTTCCCTATATGGAGCACTACAGCAAGTGTTAGCCTTTCAGCAAACAGCCCCAGTAGCTCCACAATATCTTTTTAATACCGTTGTAACGCGGCATTCAGGTATGTGGCCACACGCCATGCGTAAAGAATTGTCTCGGTTGTGGAAGTTCGTTCGCTGATAAATACAGGAACTCTCCTTACAACCTTGCTGCCAACCACGTAGATAGGAGAATTACTGGAAAGAACGACTACACAGGGCAGTCGCTATATGGCAGGGGTTTCTCAACACATATCACCACTTCGTAAAAAGCCACATCTAGAGTAAAAATCCAGGGTTCTCAGTAAGTGTTTACATTTCAACAGCCCTGTACCTCTTGGGTTTGGACGAGGAACAGCGTGTTCTGTTAAAATCTTGTGACTTAGACTTATTCTTTCATTAGAACCATACAGTGATTCTTTTTCTCAAAAGTTAGTTAGAACGATTCTGGCCATTTTCAATATAAATGTATATTGCTTTTGATGACGTTCCAGTTTTTTAAGACCCTATTGTTAAAATGTTTTCTTGTTAAGTTTCGCGATTAAACGAGGTTCTGTCACTAGTAATGCAGATAAGCAAAGGAAAATACGATGTTTTTTATTGAAGTGTATTTTAATTAAATATACTAGGTGTTTTTTTAATGAGTATGTTATGCTGCCAAGTTTGATCTCAGTTGGCTAGGAAAACCAAAAGATATTTGTAACCACAGATGAGAGAGAGTCGAGGATATTTATAAGTTAATAAACTCATATCATAATTAATGTTTGAGTTGTCATTGTTACCTTCCGTTGATCGCGCCATAAAATTTCGATAGGCTTCTTAGTGCAATATTAACAACTTTTCCCGAAACCATCAGACAAAGATAAATAAAAGGTTCATCCTTCGCCCAAGCAACCAGTGAGAGTTCTCGAAAACTGCCAGGAAGCTCAATGAATTTCACAACTTGTGGCTGCGCTTGTTCAGGCCCGCGTTTATTTGAAGAATAACAGAGTACCACAAGAACGATGAGAACAGCCATAATAAGATAAACGGCGGGGGGAATTTGGTTTCCTGGAAAAGCTGGATCAAGGATCGCCGGATCAAGTATCACCAGATCAAGAATCACCGGATCAAAGAATTAATCCAATCACATCATAATTTAATTTTGCACATACTGCATTACATCATGTTGCATATACATCACGTTGCATATGTTACTCAAAACTGTCCAATTACTTTGAATTTTATTCAGGGACTTCTTTCCGCAATTGTTACATTTAATTCAACTACTCCTAATCAAAACGAAACGAACGAAAAATAAACGTTGGTCATAGCTTTTATTGCATTTGGTGGCTCCCAAAGGAGCCGTCAACTTTCTCTTCACCTGACTCCAGACTCCCTCTTTAGTGTGGAGGGCGACAGGGGGGCGGGAGAGGGAGGAAAGCGGGAGAACAGGGGGCGGGAAGCGGGAGCAGAAATAAATAAGGCGATTGTTTGTTGTATATTACTGGGTTTTACTTGGTTTTATTCAGTCAAAAACACATTTACACTTATACTTCAGTGTCTGGTAAGCTGTAGCTGTCAAAAATCATCAGCAAAGAGAGCGATTCAGGGTCATTCAGGTCAGATGTCGTCAAAGACTATATTAATCGGCCTCGGTATTTTTCGTTGTGGCCACGAAAAATCCATTTGTGGAAGACCTTCTTGGGAGCTCGCTCCATACGATTGCACATCCCAAATAACTGAAGCGTTTGCCTCGTGGTGCAAACTTGTTTTTAAGGAATGCCGCTCCAGTGGGTGCGCCGAAGAGTGCAGAGTGGTTCACTTTTCGACGCGAGAAGCGAGAAGTTACCTTGACTCGTCGGAAGAAGAGGCTCTAATCAAAATTTGGAGTTGCAAGAGTTCAGTGTGGTCTTCCCGGCGCATGGACGACTTCTTCTAACCTTAAAACTTTCTGCAAAGGTTTGAAGAAGATTTCAACCTATCGAACAAATCTTATAATCAGTTGAACAAAAATGTTCAATCATGCTTCACAAGCACTTAAACTGAACGCTCGAAATGCAAACGGTTCAACAATTTATGTACTCGCTACGACTAGTTACTTACATCAAAAAGGGGAAGCAAGCACGGATACAGGAGAAACAAACTCTAAACATTACGTCTGCCTCTTGTTTTTTCTTTATTTGATTTTGAAATGCCAATAGCTATTACATTACACAGTGAGCTGAGACTTTCGTCTCTATAACGAGATGTCAGAAGCAACGGTCAAACTGTGATAACCCGGTTAGTGAAACTTAGTCTGATTAAGAAAACTGACCCGTAGCAACTTTCATCAGGAACCAGTGATCCCCCCGCCAAAATAAAGGCCAGAAAATGAACAAGAACGTTAAGTTTTGGCTCAGTTTGAAAGTTAAACCCGGATTTCTGATCCTCTTGATTAGCCTGAAGACGGAAGCAACACAATGAAGTGCGGGAGTCGGGAGGCAAAGGGGCACAAAAGTACGGGAGGCGGGAGAATGTGGTACGGGAAGCAGGAGACTGACTCCCTGTCAGAAATGAAGTCCCAAATGCGAGCAACCGCGCCCCTCAGGACAAGCCATGGATCCCCATCAGTTCATAACATAAACAATCAGGATACCCTGCTCCCTGTTATCACAGCAGACATCAGTGGACAAACAGGACTTTACAGGCGTGGAAATGTGCTTCTCGACTCAGGAGCGTAGATTAGCTGGATCGGTATGGAAACCGCAGGGAACTTTGGTTTGGAAGGGAGGAATGTTTCCATTACAATAACGAAAGTTGGTGGCGAAGAGTAAGAAATAAAGACAAAGGAGTTCAAAGTGCAAGTAACGTCACCAAGCAACAAAAGAGGTTTCCTCCTATAGGCTGTTGGAATTCCGCAAATCAGCGATGATGTATCGGCAATCACAAGCAAAGCTGTTACAGAATGTACTCGACTGAAAGGAAAAAGGATTCACCACCGAGATACAGGATCAGTAGACCTTCTTATTGGAATATACCATGCACGCCTGCACACTGGAAGAGACGAAGCAATCGGGACATCTTGTAGCCAGAAACTCACCTCTCGGGTGGGTAGTCTTCGGAGCTGCATCAAGAAAGATTCAGCAGGCCAATAGTGTCCTTCTGGTCAGTTACAGCCCTCCAGTTGATCTCTCCAAATTTTGGACCATGAAAGCCATGGGAGTAGCTGTGAAGCCATGTATTTGTTCAGCAGACAAGTTAACTCAGTTAGTGAGAGAGGAAGCAAGAATAATTCAGAGCTCGTGCAAGAAAATGGGAAATGAATGGATGATTCCATACCCGTGCAAAGCAGACCCAAAGCTTCTGTTCGACAACAGGTCTCAAGCGTTCAGGAAATTGGAAGCAACAGAGCGCCGATTACGAAAATTCGTATTCAATTCGTCTTCTGTTTATCAAGGCCACAGACCGAACAACTATTGGTCGAAAGGCCCGGACCTGCTCAATGGTCTCTTTGGAATCGTACTACGGTTTAGAGAAGACCAAGTAGCTATCAGTGGAGATACTTCCAAGCTGTACCACAGAATCCTAATCCCATTAGAAGATCAGCGCGTACATCGTTTCTGTGGAGGGAAATGAAGACAGATCGAGAGCCAGACACCTATGTGAGGACCATATTGACTTTCAGAGACAAGTCAGCTCCCGCCATGGCGCAAATAGCGTTGAGAAAAACAGCAGAAGAAGGAGAAAGCCTGAGCTCTCACGCAGCGAAAACACTGAAGACCAACAGTTACATTGATGATATACTGGACTCCGTTCACACTCTACAAGAGGCTCAAGACCTAACGACCGGAATTGACAATGTACTGGAGAAAGGTGGTTCTCTTCAGATTGAAGAAAAGGTTCCTTCCTAAAAGGAAACAGGAGGAGATTGAGGTAAGTCAAGGACCACTTACAGCTCAAGAGCTAGAGGGAAGCAGGAAATACCTGATCAAAGACGCACAGAAGAGCCTGCATAGTCGCTTTAAAGAAAGACGACTGCAAGATGCTAAGTCCTTTCATAGACGATGGGGGAATAATCCGAGTCGGAGGACGTATAGACAAGGCAATTGTGTCGTACGCAACGAAGCATCCTGCGTTACTGCCACATGACCATAGGATATGTAAATGCGTGACTTTCAAACTTGCATGACATTTGTGTTACAGTTGGCCTTTGTGCCATTTGATTCCTTCAGATAGTCTTTCTCTCCCGCTTTCATTATTCACTGTTCATGTTCGGTGTGCATCCAAAGTTAATTTATGAAGTTTGATTTCAAGCCACCGGCCTATAGGGACCCATATATAAGTTGCTTTCGCTTGTTTTGTTGTTTATCTCGTTTCGAGCAAGCTCTTTTGTCTTTATTTGTAGATATATTTTGTGTTTGCTGTGGCACCTGGTTCATTTATTAGTTCCTTTATTATGTTAGATTCATTTACGCTGTTAAGTCGCCACGTGTTTAATGAAATACAATCGATTATATAAGTCCCTCTTTTAATTCGCTTACAGTTTACGAGATTGATAAAAGCTATGTCTCTGTGACATATCCCCTGGTTTGGTTGGCATTTTCTCCAGTCGCGATTTTCTTGGCACTTCATCGAGCCTTGATGTTCGTTTGCCGCAACAGGATATCCCGTCTAATAACACAGGAAGCCCATCAATGTGGACACCCAAGTGTGGCAACAACAGCAGCCAAAACGAGAGCAAAGTACTGAATCTTGCAAGTTCATGACCTGGTGAAGACAGTCAAATTCAAGTGTATCACTTGCAGAGAAATGGAGCCAAAGACAGAAATGCAGATTATGGCCGACTTACCTCTTCACAGAACAGCACCAGATAGCCCATCATTTTACTACACGCCGTGCGATTACTTTGGTCCTCTAACTGTGAAATTTGGAAGAAATAAAGCAACAAGGCATTATGGAGTTATTTTTACTTGCCTGAACACCAGAGCAGTGCATCTTGAAATAGCTACTGACTGAACCACAATTAAGTTCATTCAAACACTGCGCAGATTCTTCTCCATTAGAGGATACCCCACTATGATGATGAGAGACAATGGAATGCAGATGGTAAGCCCTCAAAGGGGCGCAAGATGATGGAAGGCTGGGACATCGAGAAACTTCGAGAATACCGTGCTGATAAAGGTATGGAATGGAGATTCACAACTCCGGCAGCCCCACACTAGAATGGTTGCACTGACGCACTGGTGAAAAGCTGCAAGATTGGTCTTAAAAAGGCAATGGGAAATCACATCCCCACGCCGTTTGAATTGTACACATGCGTGTTGGAAATCGCTAGTTTAGTCAACCAACGTCCAAATGGTAGAGTCGCAAATGATCCAGAAGATGGAGCTTATCTATGCACTAATGATATGCTGTTGGGTAGAGCGTCCTCACAAGGACCCTTTCATGAGACAAGGAACCCCAGGAAGAGAGTTGAATTTGTCTAGAAGATTGTAGATTCCTCTTGGAGACACCAGACAAGAGACGTATTTTCGTTATTAGTACCACGTAAGAAGTGGAACACAAGCAGACGCAACATTCAAGTAGATGACTTTGTTATGGTAGCTGAGCCAAATGCAGGGGAGGCTAATGGATCATCGGAAGAATAGTTGAGGTGTACCCCAGACAGGACGGAAGAGTGAGAAACGTGAAGGTAAAGACACGTTCTGGCGAGTACTCAAGACCTATTACAGACCTATTGCCAGCTGAAGGCTTTGACCAGAAAAAGGATGAAGAAATATAGTCCATCATCAGGGCAGAGGAAATGTTACGGTGACAAACTATTATTGATGATTGACGCTTTTAATCGTTTCATATATTAGTTCATCAGGTTTCAATTCAGTTCAGCTCTTACACGTGTTTGCTTACCAGTTTTATAGAAGTTACACCGAATGATCAATTTAACAGGAAACCGGCGACCGAAGTTTTAATTATTTTAGCTTGTACTGTCGGCTTATTATCCACTTTTATAGTCGGTGTTGTAAAAACTCGAATGTTTCATAATTTAATTGCTTAATTGTATGTTTCAGATCGAATAATTCCTTCAAATAAACTTGTGTTTTCGGGTCTGCTTCATTAGTTGTTGTTGCGTAGTTTGAGTTCAATAATGGTTACCGAGGGAAAGACTCCTGCCCCTAGATCAGGCGCTCCCAGTCCGTCACAATGAGGAATAAACAGTAGTAGTAACAAACCTGCAGCTATGCTCGTGGCATTTTCGGCAACGGGAAACAAAGAATGGGACTCGTGGCTTTCTCATTTCGAATATTGCGCTTCAATCAACGAATGGAATGACGCACAAAAAGCCTAATTTTTAGCCGTTCATATGCGTGGGGCTGCGTTGTTTCAACTTCAGAATTTGTTGCTGGGTGTACGGGTGAAATATGGGAATTTGAAGGCAGCACTCTGTGAGCGGTTTGTCCCAAAGGAACGGAGAGAGCTTCACAAAGCTGAATTTCGTACAAGGTGTCGCGAGCGAGAGGAGAGGCTGCCAGATCTCGCCAGTTCGTTGCGGAGACTTGTCGGGAAAGCGTACCTGGAGGTGGTTACTGATTTGCAAGACAGCCTAGCGAAGGATCAGTTCATTGATGCGTTGGAGGATCGGGAAATACAGATGAAGATCCGAGAATCCACCCCAAAAACGCTCGATAAGGCTATAGTCGAACCTTGCAGATCGAGGCAATGTACAAGGCTGGGTCTTAGCGCACAAAAGGTCGATTGGTGTGATTGATACAAGGGCCATCAAGAGAGGAGAAGAGCAAACTTGCAGAGCTCCTGAAGCAAAAAACGGCTGCCATAAGCCAGATGGTTCAGTTTGTGCAGAGATAGCAACAACCCCAAACCTCGAACGAGAATGAACGTAAACAAAATGGTCGGGGATTGGGGCCAAATACGAAAGATCGCAGAGAACGGCCATCATATTGCCGAGTGTACCCAACTGCTCAGGGGTTAACAGGGAAACTGCCAGTGATTGGCACCGTGGGTCAAACGTCGGTCAGGGAGAAGGGAGAGACTTTCAAAGTACCGGAGAGGGATTCAAATGTGAAAGTATAGAATTCGTCTGCGAGTATTCGTAGTGTTTCTAGTTATAATGCCGTGTATGTGCCTGGGCTAGTGGGAGGGCAACCTATTAAGATATTGGTCGACTGGGTCAGCAGTGACTCTTGTATATCAGCGGGTACTTGAAAGGTCCACTTAAAGTCTTAAGTTAGGCGTGGTAGGTGACCCCGTGGTTTTGGCAAATGGCCAACCTTTGGATATTAGGGGGAGGTGTGACCTGCTAATTTGCAATAATGAGGTAAATGTTGTTCATTCGGTGTTAATCGCTGCAGATGTTACCCAGGACTGTTTGCCAGGTATAGATTTTCTGGGCAAATATGGTTGCAAAATTGATTTTGATAGCGTTAAGAAAGTTTTTGAGATAAGTTTGGCGGAGACTGTTGTTGTTCCTGGACGGCATGAAATAGTTTGTTAGGGTTGGTGGAACCATCGCCAGGTTTTGTCAAACAACACGATCTCTTATTACTTGCGTGTTAGCCCACCCAAAAGACAATACAGTAACAATCCGCCTGTTTCATCCATCGCCAACTACTGTAACCCCGTACAAGAAAACCTCACTTGGTACCTTTAGCGAGCTAGAAGAAAGTGTCCTTGACCTAGTCTAGTGCAACTACCTTAAGCCTGCAGCACCCTCCCCTAAGACAAAGCCAAAAATGTCCAGCAAATTTGACTTTGACTCTCTGGATCTGATCAGTAAACAAGGTTTTTGGATGGGACTTTGAGGAACACCTGAGGCAGCCCTGAGAAGTCTTTGAATACTTCTACCACTATCTGTATGGGAGACCATTCACTTTCAGAACAGACCACAATGCGCTGAAGTGGCTACAGAGCTTCGAAGAACCTGAGGGTCAAGTGTCCAGGTGGCTGGAGTTGTTAGCCCAGTACCACTACAAGATTGAACACTAACTAGGAAGGAAACACCAGAATGCCGATGCCCTGTCCAGGAATCCCCTCTTGGCTGCTAAGGAAGCTGACCAGACAGTCCAGACCAATGTAATAGATAACAATACCAGCACCTGGGCACCCAGTTGGACAAGGTCTGACCTACAATCCAGACAAGCAGCAGATCCTGACCTGAAGCGGATTCTGGCCTGAAAGCAGAACCAGACCACCCAACCAGCTTTCCTGAGAGATACGAGGAACCAGCAAAGCGACTAAGAGCCTGTGGGCACAGTGGAACAAGTTACAGTTGAAGAATGGTATCCTTTACCGCCAGTGAGAAACCGAGGATGGTCATCGTACCTGATTGCAGTTAGTACTTCCCAGATCCGTGGTACCTGAAGTCCTATTCGCCCTTCATGATGCAGCGTCAGCTGATCACTTAGGGGTAAACAAGAGCTTGGGGCAAATACGAGAACACTTCTATTGGTATGGCCAGCAGCATGATGTTGAAGACTGGTGCCAACAGTGTAACAAGTGCTCCAGTAGGAAGTCCCCACAGCAGCCAAGGAGAGCATCCCTTGTCAGTAGCTGCTCAGGTTGCCCATTCGAGAGAATTGCAATGGACATCATGGGCCCTCTGCCAACTACTGAGTCTGTTCAGAAGTATATCCTGGCTGTTGGAGACTACTTCTCGAAATGGACAGAAGTGTTTCCTCTTCCAAATCAAGAAGCAAAGACGGTTGCAGAAAGGCTGGTGAATGAGGTCATTTCCAGGCAAGGAGCACTTGAACGGATCCACATTGACCAGGGTCACAGCTTTGAAGCCCAGCTGCTTAAGGAGATGGGCACCTAATTCAGTATTGACAAGACCAGGACAACACTGTACCACCCCAAAAGTGATGGCATGGTTGAGTGGATGAACCGTATATTACAGGACATGCTGGCCAAGTACATCTCTGAGCACCAGCGCGACTAGGATGTTCACCTACCTTTGGCTATGATGGTGTACAGGTCCAGTATCCACTCATCGACTCAATATACGCCGCATTATCTTTTGTTTGGTCATGAGGCCAGACTACCCTTAGATGTCATGTATGGTCGCAAGCCATATTAGCTGGAAGCAGCCTCTGAATATGTTAGGAACCTTGGGTCCACCTAGGACAAAGCCCATGAAAAAGCCCAAGAGCACCTGAGGACTTCCCAGAAAAGACAGAAGGACTGCTATGATTGCCGAGTTGCCTCAGAGGAGATAACGGTTAGAGACCATATGTACCTTTATGTTCCTGTGATAAAGAATGGGAAAAAGTTGCATTCGCCATGGCAAGGACTGCATGTGGTAGTAAAGAAAATCGGTGACATGACCTTCCAAGTTGAAGAGGTAGGCAACCACAGAAAGCGAAAAGTGGTAAATTTCAATCGACTTAAGCTATGTGGTGAGCCACCATCAGCCAACCAGTACCCAGTACCCTTATCAGCCTACTGGTCACTGTTGCAGTTCACCAGTGCGGAGACCGCATCTTCCCCGTTGGTACATATCGGATGAGATTGATCTGATGTATATAGATGAGACTGCGGCAGAGGGGAACAACGCTACAGCAGGAATTGAGGAAGAGATCGCTGAAGAAGCAGTGCACACTCCCTCAGAAGAGATCGCTGAAGAAGCAGAAGACGCTCCTCCAGAACCAGTCGTTGAAGTTATATCTCCATCTGTCCTGGACAGTTTGAGTTTGTGGTCTTTCAGATGGTACTTTTGTCTACTAGGGCAAAGAATCTGTTTCTGATATTGTGCTGCCATTTTCGCTGAATGGGGGGCTTGTACTAGAGTATGTTGTTCCGCAGTCTGTTTTTTGTTTGCTAGTTATAAGTGGTTCGTAGTGTAAAGTGTACCAGTATCTACATTTTTTGAGTGCTTATTGATATGGAGCCACCCCTCCATATCAAAAAGCATTCGTCTAGTGTTTTTTGATGTCGAGGGGCGGCTCCATTTCAAAAAGCACTCGACAAATGCAGATACCTGTCCACTCTACATTACAAACCACTCACAATTAACAAATGAAAAGACAGACAACAGGACAACATACTCTGGTACATCCCCCCATTCGGAAAAAATGTCAGCTCCGATATTGGACACAGATTCCTTGCCCTACTAGACAAGCACTTCCCAAAAGATCACAAACTTAGAAAAATCTTTAATTGTGACACAATCAAAATCTTCTACGGCTGCAAGAATAACACTAGACAAATCATCGCTAACCACAACAAACGCAACTTAAATTCATCCAAACACATTGATGATACTGCAGATAACACCAACTCAAAAGACACCAAAACTTGCAGCTGCCGACAGAAGAACACATGCCCACTTAATGGAAACTGTCTCCAATCATCACTAATCTACCAAGCCACCATCACACCTAAGGACAACGGCACCACTGAAATGTACATCGCACTAACAGAAAATGGCTTCAAGACTAGATACAGAAACCACACCACATCATTCCGACGCACAAAACACAGAAACTCTGAACTGAGCAAACATATATGGACCCTTAAAGAAAATAACATTCACCACTTTATTTTATGGCATATCCTTTCGTAAAGATCACCCTACAACAGCACAAGCAGGAGATGCAACCTCTGCCTCAAAGAAAAACTACTTACCATCCGCCAACTTGAATTATCATCACTCAATAAACATAATGAACTTGTGTCCTCATACCATTACAGAAAAAAAGCATTACTGAGTAACAATTGAACAAAGCATCGAAATTTACCACCACGCCTCTATGCAAGTTTGTAAATTATATAAATGATGGTTATGAATATTGTTAACAATAAAATCCCCTGATGAGTAAGTAATCATGAAACAGGCTTCCATGGATGAAAGTATACTCTCTGTTTTTTTTACCTATCTCTGTACATGTCACGCTTTACTTCTATGTATCAAGCACTGTACAACAGAAATATCAAAACACAGACTTCCTATATGTATATCTATATGTATAATTTACTTGAGGCACATGTCTTGATAGAAAGCTCAAGAGATAGATATCTAGCAAGCTACAATCAACCTGACAACTAACCTGCCAAGACTTTTCTCTTGTGGTAGTGATTGTCCTCTGAGATGACCAGTAAAAAGTCCTAAACCATTACAGAAAGAAAAGAAAGGCAAACTAGAGAAACATTCTCCATGAGAAAAGTTGTTGATGCAGACTCCTTAATTGATAATACACCTTGGACACTCCACTCCACCAACAAGGAATTGTTAGTGGTCTCTGAGGACAATCTTGACTCCTATGGAAATTGCACCTTTTCAGTCATTGCTCCCTCACTCTGGAACAATTTACCAGACCAAATAAGAAGTGTAGCATGCGTAAGTTCCCTTAAGAGTAAAGTTAAGACCTTTTCATTTGGTCATTCCTTTTAGCCTTTCGAACACCTCAGATTTGTTCCTAAATTAACAAATATTACACTTATAAGTAGTTTAGGAATGTATTAGCAACTTTGATAGGTGCTTTTGGTCAATTAGTACAAAAACATTATCATTACTATTATTATTATTATTATTAAGATGATTATGCAACACCTGATACATCAATAAGGTCATCTTTCTTTGAATCTGAAATTGATCGGCTAATCAGTGTATCTAGATCCAAACTGGCTTTATCAGAGTAAAAAACTCAGATGAAGAAAGGGATTTTAAAGGACAAGGATATAAGCTAATAGATCTAAACCAGTTTTCCTTCACTATCTTTATTATTTAAGATATGGTCAACTTCAATTGTTCTGAATGGTTCTCAAAAAAATGTTTCAACTTTGTTGTACAGTTTCTGTTTGAATGTGTGTATAACACAGTAAGTACATAGTTGTTGATTTATTGTTTGGCAATGTTTGCCCTACTCTAAATTACTTTAGTAATTCAATCATTTATTTTTTGCTTTCTGCTTGTTCTGTATATTTAATGCACAATGATTTTCTTGAGGCAAGTGTTTTTCACATGGAGGGCGTGGTCACCTCAGACAAACAAATAAAGCGGATTCAGATGCCATGGTCTAGCCATTACACAGAATGTTCTGTCAACCTCAAATCCAATAGATACTGAGATAAATGAAGCTGTTTACACCATCAAAAAGAATTTGATAGCCATCTTACACCACTCTATCCAAGCTGGAGATTCAGCAAAGCAACACAGATTTTGTCCTCCTGATAACAACTCCTAGTTTGAATGGCAACAAGAATGTTGACTGATAAAAGGGATTACTGCCTGTCCCAGGTTTTTGCGGAATTGTTGCACTCCACTCTCATAATGTTTAGTTACACAGAACTGAAATGAGTGCATTAATTCTCTGGTTTGGATTCAGTGCCCGAAGCATAAATGTAATGATGTGGAAGTAATTCCCTGTGCTGTGGCTTTTGCAGTATTACAATTTTATCATGGGACTGTTGGCTGCCAAAGAAATCATCACAGACCACCATATTTTTACTCAAACATTTCAATTTTCACTATTTTGTACACTTGTTGATTTTTATAGCATGTTGTAATTCTATATAATTTTATTCCTAATTTAGTCTTTACTTTCCTGATAACTATTATAATTAGCTTTTATTATCTTTACTTGCAAATTTACTCAGAATAGACTTCTAGGAGGAAAAAACTACTGCATGGTTACTGTTACAATATTTAGTTGATTGCATCAGAGCTTTGTATTCCGTTATTTGGCAATAAATATTAGTTGGTATAAAGCACATGGTAACTGCTGTCTTACATCAGTTACTCTGGGAGACTGGAAAGACACAAAGGCAAGGAAGGTTCAAGTTAACCAAGAAGCAAAGTATTTCTAATTCAGGCCAAACATGCAGATGAAAAATTAATGCACCCACCTACTAAGGAGCAAATGGTAGATCATGAAGACATTTAGTTAACACCATAAACTCGTCTGAAAGCAGCAATCACTTGCACCACACTTACAACTTCATACATACCTTTGCTTGATGATCCTTTTATTCTTTACATTCCCCTTTGGGAGAGCCTTTATGTGTCTGCTTTAAATGCCAAGTTTAATGCTACCACTCAAGCACCAACCAAAGCACACAAAAAAGAAACCTCAAACCTTTCAAATACTGCTCACAAGAACTGACAGATACAAAATTAATGTTCTTTTATACCATCTGTGTATGGAAAAAACAGTTCCTAGTTTTAACTAGTCATAAATGATTTTCAATGAGCAAATATCAGTTTTACATAAAGTAAGTCTTAATAAGTAAATTAGATAGATTGATTGGAAGGTTTGGAAGAGTGGAGTATGCACACGTCGCTAAAGGCTCTCGTTTTGGTTGCGTTTTATTGCGTCTTGGCACTCTCTAAATTTAATGGAAATACAACTTCTTCTTCAGTTTCACCTTGGTATCAACATGGAGTTGGTTGCTTTGGTCTTGGCGTTTTTTTCACGAATATCTTGCCATCTTCAGTTTGCATTGGTGTGCGTGCTGGATCTGTTGGTTTTTGCTGCACCAAATTCTCCTTAGCTAGATGGTCGAAACACGGTTCTACCTGTTTAGTTATTGCTGGACATGACCCCCCGCTGGATATTGCTGTCTGGATGGATATTTCTAGGAATCCAGGTCTTACAAACGATTTATTTGATATCTGCTCTGGCGGTCAAAATCTGGTTCATGGCGGAAATTTGCATATTTCAAGTTCGACTTGAACAATAAGCACATCAAATAATGGACCGGGAGTAAGGTTTGGAATTCCATCGCTGATTACAATGCGGCCGACTATCACCTTTGGTTATAATAGGCCAGTATTTCGCACGCTCACGGACGTTCCTATTGATATATCACAGTGCTCTTCACTTCGAACTAACTTAATGAAACTCTATAATTTGAATGCAAGATCTATCAAAAGCAAATCTGCCGACTTTCTGAGCTATGTTAAATCGTGCACTGCGGATATTTTCGCAATTACTGAAACCTGGTTCACCGAAAAAGACTCGGCTCATAGAGCGGAGGTGACTCCGCCAGGCTGATGTTATATGATCATGCGAGATCTGGTCGCTCCGGGGGTGGTACAGCTTTATTGTGCCGTGACAGTATTAGCGTAACGAGAATCTCGGCTAGCGAGAAAAAGTCAGTCGAGTTCTCTGAGTGGATAATTCTTGGTCGGGGCTCTCGGAAAGTCCGCGTAGTTGTTGTGTATCGCCTGCAGTATTCTTCTTCTCATCCTGTGTCTGTTGATGTCTTCTTTGAGGAGTTTTCAGCCTATCCGGAGTCACTCATCCTTTCCTCAGAGCCGTTGTTGATAACTGGCGATTTTAATATTCATGTGGATGTTGTCGGGGATCCTGTTCGCGCGAAATTTCTTGATCTACTGGAAGCGATGGATATGCTGCAGCATGTTACTACGCCAACTCACGAATCGGGGCACACATTGGATCTAATTATCACACGGCAATGCGACGCCCTGGTCAAGGATCCACCTGTTAGTGATTATCATATTTCTGATCACTGATCTGTTACTTGTTTGCTTAATCTCGAGAAGCC